TTGAAGATCACGAATTTGTAGAATATGGTGACCCTGAGATGTCTATAAGGTGTGATGGTAGCTACCACCAATATGGTATAAGTTCACTTTGTCTAGATCCATACCATCCTGGCAACAGGTAGCGATAATAGATATTCTCACCTATCGTGAACCAATTGAGTTTGGAACTGATAGTGGAGGCTGGTTTGTAATGAACAAGTGCCGCATCGTCTGCAAAGGGTACCTGTGAGGGTAGGTCAATGGTAGGCACTGTATAACTTGGATTGAACAATAGTCGTAGGTTATAGGTGGTTGATATTACACTGTCTTTAATCATCATGATGTCTATATCACAACTAGGATTTGAAGGCCTAGGTTCGATTCTTGGGGTGATTTTGACGTATGGTGAGGCAACTATGATGTAGACTATCATCTTAGGTTGTTCTTGACCCTCTTTTTAGTAGTTGTGATGAATAGTGAATGATGGCCAGGTACTATATCTCTCTACCCTGAGGGTTCATTGGTTTGGCAGTCTACTCAAATATTAACATTCATTCACCTAGGTTTAATGCCAACCCACACTGGTTTGAAATATAGCAAAGGAGGGTTAATAGTGGAATTAGACGTGTTGTAAGACATATCATTCTGTTGAAGGGTATGCATCCAAATATATTACCACTTGTGCATGCCTAGTAAAAGTATCAAAAAAAATAAAAAAAAATTGAATATAACAAAAAATGGAATTACAGTATATAATTCCTATGTATCACATTACCTTCCATATGTATTTGATAATTGTCAAGAAATATACTTCAATACTTGCATAGATTGTAAAAATCTTTTTGTTTTTTCAAAACTTTAAAGAATTATTTTTCATCAAATTTGCATAAAGATTTTGATAAATATTAGAGAAAATTGATTGCATTTATGTCACATCATACTCGTAAAATATATCTAAATGTACAACTACCTGCTATTCTTTTCCAACTTAATTCTGATGAAGCTTTAATTATTGTGGATTATAAAATGTATATTAATCCTAAAAAAGCAAAAGAAACAAAGGATGAGTAGTTTGGTAAATGTGGATAGACTTTACATTCTATTTTATTATATACTAAAGATCAAAATATTAACAATCTCAATATCAATGCTTTTGATCACTGGAGTGGTGACATCAAACAGAATGCTTAGTTTATAGTATCATCTCTACATGGAATAATTGAAACACTTGAAAGGAAATCTAAATTTGTAACTATTATATCTGATAATAATGAATATTATCATAATACAGAGCTAATGATAATATTATCACATTAGAAAGAATGGTATAATATCTGTGTTAAAAAGTGGATTTTTTTAGAAGCTGACGAAACTAAAATAGCAATAGACTCACATCATGTCTAAGTAAGTGATTTACTCTTTCTTCTTTATAACTTATATTGTGATGTAATCAAAAATTTCCATTAAGATTACACATGTTATTAACTGATATGTTAAACTTGGTTATGAAATAACTTTGAATAAAAATATTGAGATGTAATCAAAGATCTATCTGATACTTACATAGCAAATCTTCAACCTAATTGAGAGTAAAGCAAATATATCATATAATATATTTCATGATAATAATAAATTTCAAAATTGAACTAATTTTTTTTACAAATTATAGAAAATGATATTAGTAAAAAGGGAAAATTAAAAATGGGAACAATTGTAGAAATTCCTAATTGGAATGAATTTACCTGGGTATATGATAGTGAAGAAGCTAGTTATATTTATGCACAATCTTTGCTAAAATTTGGACAAAATTTAAAAAATTGTTAAGGATCAAATAATTACAGATCTTAATCCTATTATTTTAACACATTCAAATCCCCTAAAACCATGAATAATACCAAGGATTGATCATTAAAGTATTGAAGTATTCTTTACATTTATATTCAGATAATCAAAATTTCCAAATCCTATTTTTATATAAAATTCAATATAGATACTATTGACGAAAATTTAAAGGATTTAACAAATGAATTAGTAAATTATAAGATATGATGATTCTAATTTATAAATAAAATCATAAAATATATTATATAATAGGAATATATGGATATAATAAATGAAGTAGAAGTAAATAAGATTATGGTAATTTATAATAAAAATTGAATATCAATTTTAAATAAACTCATTAGCAATTATAATTATTTAGTTAGGAAGTTTTTATTTTTAGTTGGGTATTATTACAATATCAAAAAATTAGAGAGTCTGTAAAAAGAATCCCTAAACATATCAAGCAACTTTTTGAGATAATTTTTCACGTAAGAACTGTAAATCTAAGAAATAAAATAACAGCTGCAGAGATGTAAAGTAAATTGATGCAACGAGTATAAAAAGGAGATATAGAGCATGAAGATATACCAAAGGAATCTATTATTACAAATTGGATTATTTGTTTTTATGAGGCTGAAAACATTCAATGACACTTCAAGTAATTGAAGTAGCAAAGCATACCTTGAATGCAAGAGAGTTTTTGAAAATAAGTTAAAAGGCTAAATTGTATTTATTTTTTATGTAAATAATATAATAAAATACAATAAAATAATGAAATTCAATTTTATTCAAAACGTAAATCTAACATACCTAAGGTTGCTTATCTAAACTTATTTTAGTTTTAGCTAAATGTCTAAACCTTTAGTTTCACTAAATTTTTATTAAGTGTTTGATATATTTTTGCCAATTTCATAAGCTTTGATATAGTTTTACCTTTTTCTGAATTTCGCAGATTTTTTAATAAGGTTTTAATATAATTTAGCCAGATTTTACTTTTACTATTTAGATGACTGACTAAACTCTAAGTTTATATCAGCAACCTTAAACACACCCATGTAGAAAAGTTGTTATTTTACATATAAATATATAATTTTTTTTGCAGATTTGGGTTTTTCAAGTATTTTTTAATATATTAAATGTCAATTATTTAAAGTTAATATGCTATTTATGAAATATTTATTTTGGAAGTTTGTTTATCGGTATCAGATTAGCAAATTTAACCCTGATTTTCTATATGAAAATAGTGCTGATCTTAGCTGAATCAGTGATTAATATAATTATATATATTAATTAAAAATGTAAAAAATCAAAAAATACTTAATTTTAATTAATAATAATATATTAAAATACTTATTTCAATTTTTAAATAAATTAATTTTAATAATATCATATTATAATCAATATCATATGTTAAATATTATAAAGGAAATTATACATCTTTATGTACAAAGTAAATTAACAAGATTAGGAATTTGTTATACTAAATAAAATCAATATTATAATTATACTATACAATACTAATTTATTAATTATTATAATGTACTAATTATATTAACTGTACTATTTATTGTACTAATAATATACTTTTCAACCCTGTGAATTAGTACTTAAAGATATGTATGATCTCAGTTAATATCTTACTGATTCTTATGAAACAATTATCATTCGATTCCTTATAATTAGACGAATTCAAATAAGCTAAATATAATGATATTTAGCTTATTAAATTTGTCTAATTGTAAAGAATTAAATAGGATTTTTTAATGATATAATACTTCATAAGTTTATTAAATTTTATATTGTGTTATAAAATAGAAATAAAGTAAAAATAAAAGATTAAACTATGACTATCTTATATAATTCTATTACTAAAAAATAATTCAAACCCGTTTAAATTGATTAATCACCAGAATTTCTTTTCAACAGAATCAAAAATTTATATTTGATGATTAAAGTTATCACATAGAAATTACAAATAAAGATGTCAATATCTGTTTATAAAATCTAACTAAGAATTACTAAACTTTAAGACTAAAGTTAATTAGGACTTCTAAGTTGTTAAATGCTACTTCAATATATTAGATAAAAGTAGTGACAAATATATAAGTGAATTAGTAAGCCTTATTCTTTTTTTTTTAATTTCTTTAGTCTTGTAGTAATTTTAAAAGATCTATCTTTCTTTGCCAATCATTTTATTGCATTATAAAATCTATAATTTGTCATGAAAAAGTTAAATAAGATAATTTATAGTTAAATACAGAATAGCAAAAGTGTTTAAAAGTGAAATAATAATCATGATAAATGAAAGAGTTCAGCAAAAATTAATTCTTTTGTTAAAAGGTTAAAGGAATCAAAGTTTAATTGAAAGTAAAAACAATAATAAATTTTAAGCTGAATATATATGAAGAGAGAATAGCAGTCTTTGTTTTTTTTCAATTTATTAATGATAAACTGATCTAAGAAGTTATATAAGAATGATTGAAAATCAGCAACAATAGCATGATTTACTAAATAAGTTCACAAATGATTAAGATCTTTTTCTGCAGTATCACAAATAAAAATGGTAACAACAATTATTTTATTATGTTGTAACAAATAAAAAATCAATTAAATATTATAACATTATTAATTTAATTAATCACATGTTACAATTAGTTACAATTATTACAAGGGACAATGATTAGTTGCAATTATTACAGGGAACAGCAATTAGTTGCAATTATTATAGAGAGCAGCAATTAGTTATAATTATTACAGAAATTGCAATTAATTATAATTAATATAATTAATTGTAACTTAAATTATATTGTAACAATATGTTGCAACATAATGTTATAACAATAAATAATTATTGCAATTAAAAATTATATGTTGTAATTAACAACAATAAGTTGCAATTTTTACAAGCAACTGCAATTAATTAAAATTACAGGAATTATAATAAATAATGTAATAAAATGATATAATATTATCCCTTAGATTGTCTAGTAGGCAAATTTGCCTGCGAAATTAAAAATATAAAATATTAAATATTAATTTAGTAATATTATTACTATATAAAAAATATAATTTAATATATATTTTGTCAACTTTATTAACAAAGATTTTAAGTTTTTTAAAAGGTTTTTAAAATAATTTAATTATAAAATTATGTTTCAAATAATTTATTATAATAATTTTTTAAAAATTTATATGTTTGCATACTAATTGAATCATTTTATCATTAATTAAAGTCATAAAATTTCTTAATAAATTATAAAATTTATAATAATAAAAGTTTTTCTTTATAAGTAATTTTATAATATTCTATTATAATTAATATAGTTAAAAGTAAATTCTAAAAAGTTTATCATAGATTAATCATAAAATTTTTTAAAATAAATTTTTTTTAAAAATTACAAATTTTTAGCTTCTAAGTAACATTACATTTTTTATTATATAATTAAAGATAAAACTTATTATAATATATTACATATTTATATAATTAATTTAAAAAAAAAATTTTTTAAAATATTAATTATTCATAAAAGTAAATCAGAAGAGAATTTATAGTAAATAAGCAGGCAAAATTGCCTGTGAAACCCTACAATCTAAGGGATAATAAACGATTGTTATGAAATTCAAAGAGATTTTTGTTACTAGTAAAACTTATTAAATTTTTATTATTTTTTTATTTTTATTTTTAAAGAAAATTAAATTCTACATGTATCAAAAAAAAAATCAATTAAATTTATAATAAAGTTGTAATTAAATTGTGATTAAATTTATAATGAAATTTGAATTGTTTAATTGATTATATAATTAATTTATGACTAATTTTATAATCAACTATGATTAAATTTATAATACATTTGATTATTTGATTTGTGATTAAAGTTTATAATTTAATTGTAATATAGTTGATGAGATCATTCTAATCAAACAATTCAATCAAATGATTTGTTATAATTTGATAGAACAATATTTTGGATCGTTCTAATTGAACGATTTATTTATCATTTAATGAAATGATATTTATGATCATTCCATTAAAACAATACTTAAATTGTTTGATTGGAATGATATTTATGATTATTCTATCAAATGATGCTTAAATCATTTGATAGAAGGATATTTTAATTATTTCAATTAAATAATTCATTTATTGTTCAATAGAATGATATTTTGGATCATTTCAATTGAATGATTCATTTATCATTTGATGGAATAATATTTTGGATCATTTCATCAAATGATTTGTTTATTGTTTGATAGAATAATATTTTGATCATTCTAATCAAATGATGCTTAAATCGTTTAATAGAACGATATTTTAGATCTTTTTAATTGAACTATACATTTTTGTTTGATAAAATAATATTTTGCCAATTAAATAAATATTACAACCAATCAATAAATTAATACATGTTGCAACAAATTAATAAATTTTTTCAAATGTTGCAACTATGTTACAATGTATGTTATAACAGGAATATGTTACAACATATTCATAAAAGCTACCATTTTTAATCTGAATTCAATTGTAAAATATACTTGTAAAGTATTAAGATTACTATGCAATTAAAAGAAATAATACTCTAATACCCTATCTAACAGTTGTAGTTCACAAGAATTATACATTAACAGTAGCAAATATATAAACTCTTTCATTTGGAGGAGACATGTAAGATATATGATTAAATGTATATATTTATATGTAATATTATTATGTATAATTATATTATTATTATACATAGACATATTAGTATTAAAATTAGAGTTATTAGAAGGTAAAGTTGTATCATTATGCATTGAGTTTGTATTCGATGCATAAGATGTTATATTAATATTACTATGATTAAGAAGTAAGAAAGATGTGTTTATTTGTTGAATATTAGACATATTTATCAAGTTATTTGCTACATTTTTAATTTGTTTTTACATCTGTTTTTATGATTAACATAAAGAAGTATTATCATAAATTTTTTTTGTTATTGTAATTCCTGAATTGACTCTAGTGATATTATTATCATGTGAGTTAAAAGAAGAAGGAGGGAAATTCTTTGTAATAATTATTAACAGAAAAGTCTATTTTTTCATTATCTATAATACCTATTATGAAAGATTCAGTATCAGTAATTGAAATAATATCTTCATCATCTAAAATATTATTAATAATGTTGATAATAATTTCTTTAATTTCTTTAGTGATAAATCATTTGCATTAACTTTATGTATTGTAAGTATGCTGATGCGTTGTTAACCTTATGCTTAACTGTCAAACTTAGGGTAATAATGACTTGATAATAGGGAGTAATACATGTATTTAATCTAAGATTACTATGAAATAAGTCCTATCACAATTAACCTTTAAGTTTATTAGCTAGTAAGTATTTTACACAAGTTTAACTTTATAACTTTATAACAAAATGATAAATCTTTTAAACATGTTGAAGGGAAATTATAGATTATTGTATAGAAAGAGATTCCTTTTTATTGTAGATTTGTATACTCAAAGATTCTTACTCTTAGATTCTAAGTCTTGAATTTGCACTTTTGAGTTGTTCTTTTATAAAAGTAACTTTCTATCCTATTTATACAAAATTACAATTATAAGAAAACTATATTTAATATTACTTTATAATAAATAAATAAAATTGATAATATAATAAATAAAGTTAAAATAT